TTATCTATTGACTAATCTTGATAAAAACCAATTCAAAAACTTTCCTGAATCACTATATATAGCTCAAAAATTAATAGGATTAGATATATGCATAAATAATTATACAATATATCCAGAATGTAATAAGTTATATGAATTTGATAAAGTATCAACAAAATTGTCTAGACAAATTCTGATATGTCTTAATTGTAATTTTGTAAAATATCTTAGTCACCCAATATCTAAAATAAGGCAACCTTGTAATCAACAATTGGCAAAGGAGATATCTATAAAGAAAGGAACATTATATTGTTCTTTGCTTACTTATCCAACAATTAGTATTAAACATTAGCTCAAGTTATTATACAGCCAACCTGGATTTGAAGCATCATGCAGAAAATAGTTTAATAGAAATATAAATGATAATTACCTTGCCAATATTTATGATGGTAATATATAGAAAAATTTTAAAGATCAAGATAAAGATTTCTTTATATCAAATCATGCCAATACACATCTTAGACTTATGATTAATCTGGACTAGTTTAGTCTCTTTCAAAATTCTATATATTCTACTGATACAATATATGCAGTTATCTGTAATTTGCCCTGTGAACTCAGATTTAAGCCTCAAAATATAATTACTCTGGCATTGCTACCAGGACCTAAAGAAGTTAAATCACATTATATTAACCATTATCTTGCATCTTTGGTTGCTTAATTACTTGAATTGTGGAATGGAGTAGAAATTCACACAAATAAATCTCTTACAAGTAAAAAAAATCAAATATGCTATTATATACTACTCATGCGATATTCTAGCAGCCAGAAAGTTATATGAACAAATATCAGCAAGAATTGCATATTTTCAATATAAAAAATATACATAGTTTGATGCTAGATATCAACTTAATTTTAGTGAATTTTCAGATATGGAAGACTGGTTTGTAGAGTGTGATAGTGAAAAAATTAAAAAAAGATGCATATGAATGGAAACTGTGCAATACTGAGGATCAAAGAAAGAAACACCTCTCCAAAAAATTGGTAAGATAGTTAGAACTCTACTGTCTTTCTTATTTTAACCCAATCAAATATGTAATTGTAGACTCAATACATTGTTTATTTTTAGAAATTGCAAAGTAGATTGTTATGTAACTTTGGATAGAAGGTGGAAAATTAAGTGCTGATGATCTGAAACTTATGGATAAAAGAGCAAAAAAATTATAACCTCCATCAGATATCGGGAGAATTCCTTATATAATTGTTATAGGAGAGAGATTTTCTGGATATATGACAGACCAGTGATGATCATTTATAATGATATATGCCACTGCTATTATTTGTAATTTATTAACAGAACCAGATTAATATATTCTTGCAAACTTTGTTAGAGCATGTAATCTGTTGATCTGTAGAATATTAGACAAAGAATCACTTAACGAAGCTCATCAAAGATTATTAAATGTTGCAAAGTTAATAGAACACCATTATAGACCTGAAAAAATTACTTCTAATATCCATTTAAGTTGAAAATTGTATGGATTACAGACCATTATATTCATTTTGGTGTTTTTTTTTTGAACATATGAATGGAATCCTAGGTAAATATCAGGCTATTATTATATATACATTATATTATGTAAAAATACTAACTGATATATATAATTTATATTTTATAAGCTTATATAAAACCAGCCATAGGAATATAGAACCAAAACTTTTGAGAATTATTCTCACGAATAATTCTTTGGATGAAGTTGTATCAAATGCTGAAAAAAATGTAAGATTATCCGATTCTCTAACAATATTAAAAGGAAGAATATCAGGTGGTAGCATAAATATTTCAGATGAATTTGAAACACAAGATCTTTAATTTTATAAATTAAGAAATATTATTGATCAAGAAGAATCTTTAGCCTACGAACTATTTTCTGGTATATTTCTTGGTCTAAAATCAAAAAATGTCATTTTACAAAATGATATTTTAGACCTTTTAGCCGAATTTTATAACAATATAGTAACAGGTTATCAATTTACCACTCCAGGAGATATATCGGGAATTGATCAAATATCTGTATTTCCCAAAATAATTCAATATGAGTGATTAAAATTGGGGTCAGAAATTTTTGGATCTATATTCTCAGCTCACCATATCAAATTCTCAAGAATTCTAGCAAGATTTGTTGCTCAAGAAGATGTATCAGTAGATTTATATCCTGGTCAAGTTCAATTCTATTTCGACCACACTATCCATCTTCCTTCTGATGAACTAACATATTACCTTGCATTTGTAAGGCGGTATAAACTTGTTGAAAATTATAAAACCAGGTTCCAGGTAAAAATTAAAGAGGTTGATTCTAGTTGTAATGTAGAATTGTAGGATCAAGAATTTTATGAATTAAGCAGGGACTGCATAATTCTCATACTTCAAATCTATTTACGGTTTGTAGCAGGTACATATACCGATACTGAAAATGATCCAAAACCTATATAGCCATAATTTCTTTACATAGAAAGTACAATTTATAAATACTGATATTTAAAGTAGCATTTTTATTTATATATTAGTATATATTATCATATTCATATCAGTTTTATATTAATTGATAGTTTTTTTATTTATATAAATGCTAAATATATTTATTTGATTTGGTATTAATATTATAATTTCCGTATTTTATTTATATTTAAATTAAATTATTTTATAACTATAATCTGGTGCTTGCCAACCTTATCTGTTGTAATGCTCACTTTACCAATAATCATTCATCTTATAGGGTTAGTTAGCAATTAATTAGTTGTGTGAATAAGCTGTTTGTAAATAACTCAGTAAGTAGGGCAGAATCATAAATTCAGGCATTATTGTTAGAAGCAATTCAGATACTGAAAATTTTTTTAATAAAATCTCCCGATAGCTAAAACAACATATCTCGGTTATCCAAAATATCATTTTTTGTTTTTTTTGATTTATTTAAATTAACAATAATATATATTAACTATTGTTCTTTGACCTTATTAATCATATATCATAAATGGCACTTTGGAAAACCAGGATTTACTATATGTCGTTTTAGCCTACTCCCGAAATTAATGTATAAAAATAATGACAAGTAAAAAATATATAATTTCTCAATAAATATATCATAACAAACTCTTATATTACAGATATTGACGTTACTAGATTCGCATAATTGTGTTTTTTTAAATATAAAAATTTCTGATATTATTATATTATATTTAAATCATATTACAGTTATGTAACTAAATTTGATCATAATAATATTAGAAATTTTTATCAAAAATTTCTGATATTAGTGTATAACTGATATCATATATTAATATCAGGATTTTTTTTGATAAAAAAAATTTTTGATATTACTTGCATAAAGTATAGCATGATATGTAAAAATATTATAATTTTTCAATTGATATTGATGTAATTAAAATATCATTTATATTATCAATGCTTATTTCGCCTATTCATTTTGTGAAAAATACATCAATCTATTTTACCAACAATACGTAATTTTCAAAGCGTTAAAAATATAAATAGGATAAATTTCTTTTTCTTGTTTTATTTACAATTCTTTTTCAGTTTTGTTTTATCTGTAACTCTTACTTTCTCACTTATTTTTTTGCTATAAATTCTTACTTTCACACTTATTTTTTTGCTGTAAATTTCTTTTATATTAAAAAACATGGCTAGTGAAAGAGTTGTTTTGTATAGAAGAGGACAATACAAAGAAAAAAAAGGGCCCATTATGGCCCAAGGAGGTGGAAGCAAGAAAGGACATTCTTCATCTTCAGACTCATCTTCAAAAGGTAACATATTGATCAGAAATTTTATATATTGTAATTTTGTGTATTGTAAAGCAGGCTATATATATATATATATATATATAGAACGAAAACAAAGATTTCTAGCTTCACCAATTATCATCACTAGCAGCAGCAGCAGTGATGATAGCATAGATATCGATATCGATAATGAAAATGATATCTGCGAAGCGCTCTGAGTATGTTTTAACAAATGGATATAAGTATCGGGCTTGATAGAAATTTATCAAAAATATAAAAATAAACTAGTTATTATTAATATAAACTGAATAACATTTATATTAATAATAGCTAGTTTATTTTTATATTTTTGATAAATTTTGTTTTATGCATAGAATTTCTAATCAAATTTTTTTTATTATAATAGACTAATATCCTTTTAGCCATTGATGGTCTAAACAAACGGGATAGATCAGACCTTGCAAAGCAATAGCACGAATTTAAAGATCGATTCGTTACGAATTTTCTCCTAGTTATTATGCGCAGCATTGAATACTATATTAGTGAGGATCAAGTGCTTCAAATTATCCAACAATTGCATCGATATCAACATGAAATGCACTTGGAAAAACTAAATGTGAACACAACAAAAAAAAGAAGAATTAATACCCGGGCATCACAGGTATATTATTATCAATAACATTATATATATATAAATATCAGCACTATACATCTTACTCTTATTATTATTTTAATAATAATATTATTATTTTAATATTATTATAACTATTATTTATTATTAATATTATTTATTATTTATATTATTATTACCATTATTTTATTATTTTTATTTTATTTTTACTTGATTCATTTTAATTTATTTTATTAGAAAATACGAAGACGAAGGAGTAGTTTTAACTATTTAGTAAAAACGAAAGGCTGCTCCTTATACAAAAATTTATCTAAACAAAATCTCGAAAACAAGCAGTTGCTGATATCAAACAGATATTGGAGTTTTAGGATTACCATAGTGATGAAATTTCTGATACTGATATCGAGAAGGTCATTAGAGAGCGAAGAGACAGAGATCGGAATAGTGAAAATGACCACAATAACCAAGTAGTCAAAGTGCTAGATAAACCCTGGTGATCTCGGAAAGTAAGATCTAAACCTATATGAATATTAGTATTATGCTTATTTCTGAGTAATTATTTTTGATCTCAGACCAATTTTATATATAGTGTAATAACATAAGTACTGTCACGAGAAATGAGACTTCAGGCTTCAATTTTATTATTGTTATTACTGCCAATATTGCATATATATATTATATCAGAGTTGACAAATGGACCAATTTGACTAATTTGATTAATTTTTTAGCTATTATTAAAATTTAATATTAATATAATTAAAAAATTTAATAATATATTAAAACATTGGTCAAACTAGTCAAATTGGTTTATTTACTAACTCTATATATATTGGCGATAGCTAATTTAATAAATGATAAAATCAAAAGCTCAAAGTCTTTTTTTCTTTGGCAATACCCATATATATAATTTTTTTCTTCAGCAATGCTTAAATATGTATATATAATTTTTTTAAAAAAGAATTTTTTGTTAATTGACTTATAGTTAAAAAATATTTTATAGTAAACGAAAAAAGTATCTACTATAAAAAAGAAATGCACAAGATATCGGTAGACAAATGCTCCAGGATTAGTAGATCATCACACCACTCCACCCTTGGATACACCGGATTGGATGCTATCCAGATTATATTTTAACCACGATGCCCACGTCTGATAGTGATAGTGATACATCTAATCCAGATAACCCAGATAACCCCACTAACTCAGATAATCACACTAACCCAGATGACTACACTAATCTGGATGACCCTACTAACCCAGATAACCCCACTAACCCAGATAACCCTACTAACTCAGATGACCTCACTAACCTGGATGATCTCACTAACCTGGATGCCACTGCTAGCCCGAATGCCACTGCTAACCTGGTTGCCACTGCTAACCCGGATGCTACTACTAACCCAGATGCTATTACTAACTCAGATACCACTGCTAACCCAGATGCCACTACTAACCCAAATGCTACTGCTAACTTAGATACTACTGCTAACCTGGATGCCACTGCTAAACCAGATGCTACTGCTAACCAGAATGCCTCTGCTAACTAGGATGCTCCACTAATCAGAATGCCCCTGCTAACTAGGATACTTCTGCTAACCAGGATGTCTTTGCTAACCAGGATGCTTCTGCTAATCAGGATGCTCCTGCTAACTAAGATGCTCCTGCTAACCAGGATGCTCGCTAACCAGAATACCTCTGCTAACCAGGATGACCCTGCTAACCAGGATGCCTCTACTAACCAGGATGCTCCTGATAACGACAATCTGGATGATCCTGATAGTAATAATCCGAATGACTCTGATAGTGATAATCTAGAGGATACCTCTGATAACAACTATAAAGCTATCGCTGGATCCAGTAAACCTCGGTATAGTGTATACAATATATATTCACAATCAAAAAACTTTTTGGGCAGTACAGGTAAAGATAGTAATACTGTTTGTTTAATTATAACTAAATGAAACTAATTCTAATTTTTGAATTTGACAAAAAGCATGTCAACTGGCTGCCTTTAATAAATTTAATAATATTAAAGGTATATCAAAAAAGGTTGTTGATGAAAAAGGTAAATCAAAAGAAGTTGTTGATGAAAAAGGTAAATCAAAAGAGGTTGTTGATGAAAAAGGTAAATCAAAAAAGGTTTTGATGAAAAAGGTAAATCAAAAGAGGTTGTTGATAAAAAAGATAATTCAAAGGAAGTAGGTATGTGTATCAAGCCTAAATTATACTATTAAATTATGTGATCTTAAGCAGCATTAGCCAGCCGATACTAATATATTGGCTGGCTAAGCTGGCTAAATTGCTTTAGCCATGGCTGCTTCAGCTGGCTTATAATACTAATATCAGCTAATTTTTATACTAATATATTAAATTGTAGTTAAATATCGTTAACTTATACAAATTATTAGTATTAGCAAATCCAACACTCTATCGAAATCCTTCTCTAATATCGGAAGGTGAAACTATATTAAGTCACCAGAAATCTAACATATCATTAAGTAATTAGATAAAATATATTAATTAATGCATAATTCAAATCATTAATTTTGTTTTCTATATAGGTGAATCTGATAGTATTAACTATTAAGTTCCTAATGATAAAGTTGCGAAGACACTTGCAAACTCCATAGAATTTCTAAAAAGCCTATTAGAGCCAGAAAAAGTAGAAGAGGAAGAGTAAAGTGAAGAGTAAAATACCTTGGCCTCCTAGCTTTTTTTTTAAATTTTATATATATAATTTTATAAAATTTAAAAAAAAATTTATAATTCAACCCAGCCGGATTATAAGAAATAATTAATTAAATTTGTATAGTCTTATATATTTATATTATTAAAAAATATAGTATAAACAATATATGCATATAAACCTTAATAAATAAATTGTTGTTTAATGAAAGCTATATATACTGTATATTGCTATAATACTATGTATATTGGAAGTTAAAAGTGAATATAATCTTATACTTTGTATATCTATATACAATTTATATGAAGTTGAATATCGGGATAGTAAAAGAAGAGAAACAACATATATAACTCTTTTACCTTTTGCATACCTTTATTCATCTAGTGTGCTATTGGCATATAAATTGAATATCAGGATGATAAAGGAAGAAAAAATGTATAGAATTATTTTACCTTTAGTATACTTTTATTCATCTAGAGTACTATTAGCATGTAAGTTGAATATCGGGATAGTATTAGTAAACAAAAGGTATACTATTTTGTATCCAATATCTATCTTTTAATTTACTATAATGCTAATATCTGTTAGTTTACCATTATTCTTTTTCCAGAATATATAAAAGTATATCCTATTATTTAACCATTATTTATATATTTGACCTGTATACAAACGTGTACGTTAAATTTCAGAATAATAAAAGAAAGAAAAACTATATATTGTTATATGTCCTGTTATATGTCTATATCCTTCTATAATACTACTAACGTGTAGATGAATATCGGGATAATAAAAAAAAGAAAAACTTTATATTGTTATATATCCTGTTATATGCCTATATCCTTCTATAATACTACTAATATGTACGTTGAATTTCAGGATAATAAAAAAAGGAAAAACTATATATTGTTATATATCCTGTTATATTCCTATATCTTGTTATAATACTATTAATGTGTAAGTTGAATATCAGGATAATAAAAGAAGGAAAAACTATATATCATTATATGCCATATTATATACCTATATCTTATTATGATACTACAAATATGTAAGTTAAATATCAGAATAATAAAAGAAAGAAAAACTATATATCGTTATATGTCATATTATATACCTATACCTTGTTATGATACTATTAATGTGTAAGTTGAATATCAGGATAATAAAAGAAAGAAAAACTATATATTGTTATATGTCCTGTTATATTCCTATATCTTGTTATGATACTATTAATGTGTAAGTTGAATATTAGGATAATAAAAGAAAGAAAAACTATATATCGTTATATACCATGTTATATGCCTATATCTTGTTATGATACTACAAACGTATAAGTTGAATATCAGAATAATAAAAGAAAGAAAAACTATATATCGTTATATGCTATGTTATATGCCTATATCTTGTTATGATACTATTAATGTGTAAGTTGAATATCAGGATAATAAAAGAAAAAAAACTATATATCGTTATATGCCATGTTATATGCCTATATCTTGTTATGATACTATTAATATGTAAGTTGAATATCAGAATAATAAAAGAAAGAAAACTATATATTGTTATATGTCCTGTTATATACCTATATCTTGTTATGATACTATTAATATGTAAGTTGAATATCAGGATAATAAAAGAAGGAAAAACTATATATTATTATATGCCATGTTATATGCCTATATCTTGCTTTGATACCAGCTCCTGTTAGTTTATCATTATTATCCCTTCTATAATATCCCGATATATATATCGAAATAATATTAGTAAACAAAAAGTATATTATTTTATATCCGATATCTATCCTTTATATTGCTCTAATACTGATATTTGTTATTTTACCAATATTATCCTTTCTATATTATCCCGATATGTATATTAGTATAATAATAGGATTATATAGGCATATCCCGATAGTCATGCATTCGACCTGTGCTAGCTATTGTTAATATTCTGATAGTATTTTATTTGTTAATTAATTATTTAACTTTATTGAATTAGCAAGTTAAATATTTCTTCAATAAACAAAATATTAGTAAAATGCTAACAATAATCTGCATATATTTTTTGACACTTTGACTTGTAAACTTACATTTGTTATTAAACTTTATTTTTCAAAACTTTAGTGATTGTATCTTTAGTAATTGATACAATTTTTTCAATTTCTTTTTGCAAAGGCTTGTTGATATAAACAACAGAATACTGGCTTTATACAAACATTTCTTATGCATTAGAATGCCTGCTGCAAAGTCGCAACTTTGTGCCTCTTTAGAATTAGTTGCAACCTTTGCGAACCCTTTTTTTACTGCAAGAAGATGTAGATCGAAGTCTATGTAATTATCGTTATTAATAAAATGAAAGCCAAAATTAATGTTTATCTTTAACATATAATTTAAATTTTAGTTTATTTTATAAAATATAGTATATATATTTTAATATATATTACGATATGAGACTTGTATATTAGGCCATATAAACTTAATAAATCGGCCTCATCACCCGTCCGGGTTAAATTTTACTTTCAAAAAAATTTTTAAGTATATTTACTATTTGGGTGAGTTTTTCTAAAAAATCTATAAAAAATTTTATATGCTTTTTATATATAACCGGGTTGCCGGGCCACTTTTAAAAATTTTATGAGAACCGATTTATTAAGTTTGTATGGGCCTTAGATTGCAATACACGTCACTCTGGTTATATCGACATCTGGATATACCGACATCTGGCTATAACGGCATTTTTTTAAAATTTTGAACCTATATACTCAATATGAAAATGCCTCTGGTTAAACCGACATCTGGATATATCGGATAATTTCTTTATGTTTTTGAGGTGTCGATATAATCAGAGTAACGTGTATTACATAATTTATTTTACAGCATTACGATATGATATTGACATTTTTACCATTTAAAAAATCACAAGTGTTGCTACCCTAGTTGTGCTATAAAAAAGTCGCAATTAATATTTGCAGCAAGCAATACTATTGTGAATCAACAACACGTTAAATAATTACGTGTGATTGGCAAATTGTTATCGCGAATCGATCATTACGTGAAAATTCGCGTCTTCTAATATCATTGGTTGATTTGAAAGCAGATAAAATAAAATTATACCCTGTAAGTGATAATTTTAATTATTATTATTCGTACCGTATTTTCTCGAAATAACGCCCAGAGGCGTTATTCTGAGATGCATAATTTAAAGAGTTATGAATTAATTTAATCGAAGGTTTTCAAAACAAGTAAAAATTGTTCGCATTGGTTAAATTAATTTTTAGCTCTCTTTAAATTGTGTATTCCCAAAATAACGCCCCTGAGATGATACAGTAAGGAGGGTAAAAAAAAATTTTTTACCTCATTTTTTTCATCAATTTAAAACGGGTGATGATTAAGATCCGAAGAATTAAATCCATATAGATTTTAAACGGTTCCGTTCATTTTACCGACAATCACTTCACCGACAGCTTAGTTCACCGACAATTAATCACCGACAAGTTCATTTCACCGATAAGTTCACTAACAATTTATTTCACCGACAAAGTAATTCTGGTCATTGTCGTTAGAATTAGAGTTAAGGTTAGCGTAATTTATAAAAAAGCACTTGTCGGCGAAATGAACTTGTCGGTGAATTAATTGTCGGTGAAATGAACTTGTCGGTAAATTAATTGTCGGTGAAGTGATAAATGACACGGATCTGATTTAAATATATCCAGGTCATAATCATCACCTATTTGTGATTGCATAATAAAAAACCATTTGCCATCCCTAGTTGTTCGTCCTAGGGCTAGTCCGTCAAATATCAAAGATTCTATGATTTTCAAGCCAATGACAATGACAAACTTATCGCTACGATGTAATTCAT